CGTATTTACTTACTGTTCAAATATGATTAATGATGTGTAAAACCATGTAAGTAACGGGTGTAATTTTAAGCCAGTATTATAATTGTGTTTATTTGGTAAGTAAACTGTTAAAGAAAATAATTGTTTATGGTGACCAAGAAAATGCAGGCATAAGCAACCTTCGGCACTCAAGATGTTTTGGACTACACCTCCCATGATGCTTTGCCAACATTATCGGTGTGAGAGCATTATGGAGGATGTAGTCCACAACATCTGGAGTGCCGAAGGTTGCCTATCCCTGATTAATGGTTTCAAACAGCTCATAACTTCACTGGAATTTCACTGATCCCAGTGTTTCCCATCAAGATGGAAATGAGCGCTAGATTGTTAAACATATTTATTTTGTTCCTTTCATTGCTCTCTTCCTTCAGAGTATTTTATACTGAGTGACAATTATCCCTTATGTGACAGCCACAATACTCGGTGTGGTGCAGCTAGCTAAGTACTTTGTGATGGCTGCCATGTATATTAGCTGTTCCAAGTGCCATCAGAAAACCTGTCTTCCAGTGATTGACAAGACTGGAATATTTCATGATGCTTTGGGCATCATAGAAATTTTGGAGGTCCCCCGGGGCAAGCAATGGTGGAAACAACCATCCTTACAATCACTATGCCCATTGTGCATGATTGGTGCACTTCACAATCACGGTAAATGAGGGGTGTACTTGCTGTTACTGGACAGCCTGACTTTTTTCATAGAACCACTGTGACAATGAGTGGGCTTCAGTGGGTTTACTGATTAGACTGCCCCTATAAACAGTATATTAATACTGTAGGTTGCTGACGTAAATTGCTTTTATGACAATCCTTGTAGTGCTCTGATACATAATTGTTCCTAAAGAAGTTACATGATAGATTATTATAATAATAAAAACACAGTTAAGTTTCCGTTCTGAAGATCACCTGTCTTACCCACCAGCTATTTTTACACCACATGTTACTTTCATGTTTTTTTTAAGCCTGTATTCAGAATGACTGTTCTGTAGGTATTGACAGTTATTATTGTTATTTAGAAATAACATATATTTCCGGTTTCAAGTTCTAATTATAGCATCAGGTTTTGGGTTGTACACCTCAATTACTGCAATGATTTGGAGTTACCATTTTAATTTATGCAGTTAATATGTGCCTCAACTTAATATTTTTGGATAAGGTTTTCAAATGATTTAATTTTTTTGAATAAACTTTTTCAAAATGATTATTCAATATTATAAAACATGTTGTAATATTTTGCGATGCTTTGTATTGTCTTTTATGTATGATTTAAAAAAAAAATATTTTAATATTTAAAGGGACCCCCTAGTCACCAGAACAACTACAGCTTAATTTAGAGTGATAGTCACTCAGATGGCCCCTAAAGGTGCTTCCTGGGTCAATGCTGCACAACATCTCTGTGAAGAGATGATGAATGGCCAGTGCAGCATTTGGCTCTGCCCCACAAACCGTCTCCTTGGCAGAGATGATTAGAATTGACGATCTCAGCAAATCCAATGCTTTCCAAAGAGGCAGATTAGGGACAGGCCAGTGCCTTCAGACCTGCATGGCGCTGGAATAATTACAAGATGTTATTCTATTTAAGGGGGATAAGGGCCGCCAACCACCTTAATAGTATTTTTTAACTCTATAGTCTTCCTTTAAAAAAAAAAAAGTTAGAAGCATGTCCAAACACATTAGATCATTCAAAAAGCTTGTATAAAAATAGTAAATTGAGGCCATGTTGTCCTGTTAGTTTTGTCAAGGTTTACATTTTATTTCTTTATCGCACGGGTGTAAACTAGAATAGCTAGCTTAATAAATGATTTAGGAAGATTAAATGACTTATCCACCTGTTCATCCATGGTCCCTGTAATGAAAGTAATATATCAAACACTGTGAGAAGACACATGACAGACACATCAATAACTATCCAGCCCAGAATGTATATACAGCCCATATATCTGACTTTGTAACATGAAGCAACAATTGAGTCTTAGGTTTGAAAGAAGTATGCTAGTCATGTATATGCCATCAGAAGGAATGCATGTTCCTAGTTGTTCATCTTGGGTTACACCTCCTGTAGATGTCACTTCAAAATCATACCAAAATAAATTGCTCAGGATTATTCAGCGTTAAGGCCATTCCAATCTATAACATTCTATTTTTTTTAATTTTAAAATGAAATTTATTATGGAAGATTTTTCATGACAATCAAGGAATGCAGTATACTTACTTCCATTTAAGTGTTTTTGCTGATTCATGTGTTTTTCTGGTGGGTTCTTTAATTTATACCGTGCAAATTTCTAGTAACTTTTTCCATGCAAGTGCCAGTTTTCCAATATTACCTGTTATTATGTTGGTCCTTGAGTGACATTAAAGGATCACTATAGTGTTGTGAAAACAAACCCGTTTTCCTGACACTATGTCATCCTTGGGGGACCCTCACCCTCAGGGTCCCCCTTCCGTGGCGCTGAAGGGGTTAAAACCTCTTAAGCAGCTTACCTTAATCCAGCGCCAGGCTCCCTCGGCGCTGGTGACCTCTCCTCCCCCGCCGACATCAGGTCCCGAGTGGAGTGGAATGCACATGCGCGGCAAGAGCCATGCGCGCATTCTAACAGTCCATACGAAAGCATTTCTCAATGCTTTCCTATGGCCGTTATGCATGCTGGATGCGAATTTCAGGAAGACAGCCACTAGAGGTTGGAATAACCCTGCTATGTAAACATTGCAATTTCTCTGTTTACATGTGAAGGGTTAAAACCTGAGGGACCTGGCCCCCAGACCACTTCATTGAGCTGAAGTGGTCTGGGTTACTATAGTATCCCTTTAAATGTTCTGTATCTGCAATACTGTAATTGATGTGCAGACCCGACATTCTACATGATAAATAATAAAATGTAATCTATACACTGTACTATCCAGACTGATGACAAATGTATATTTTAAACTTTAAATATAACATTCAGTTAATTTCCATGGGTGTTATTATAATGCTTTTCTCCTTTATTTTGTGTGCTCAAAAATAATGCTTTTGGGTGCAATTCATGGGCTTTTACCTATGTTACTGATTTGTGTTAAGAAACATAAAACTTCTATGTCTTCTCCCACAAACCCTTACATGGTGGCAAAGGTTCAAGTTGTTTTTGAATTTTTGTTTCAAGAATAGGCAACATCTGTCATTTTGAATTATTGTATGACACACTTTCCCTATAATTTTCTTAGATGCTCAAGTAGTTAACCAAATAACTCATATATCCAAAACGTGCATCCTCCATTCAATGGATATTACAGAATGTTATGATTAACACATCAGCCTCTGACCAATCCAGCATTTTGTTGCAAAAATGGCTATTTGGAAGCCATTTTGTACAAGTTCAACTCCTTAAACCTTCTAATCTTTTTAATGACTATAAAGTAACTTTTTGTGTTAGAGAAGTGGTTTGATGTATAATTTACACATGCATACCAAATATTCAGGTCTACTCAAAGAACAGGGATTAAAGTCACAAAAAAGGACTCAACTGAAGAATGATCAGGGCCAATGTTCATTGTAGAGTCCTGATTTCGACTCATGTCTGATCACTCCATCTAATTTCCTATGTTTGTGTCTTAGGTGCCTAAATTAAAATTGTGAATATAATTTTGTTACAAAATAGTGGGTAAAAATGTATAAGGTAAATGACTTGCGCAAACAAGAAAGTTAAAAGAAAGCAAGGTCATATATTTTTAAAGAAGGGTCAGCCAGTGTGCTAAAATGGCTCTAAAATGTGTGACTGTATTTGCAGTTACTAATTTTGCTAGCAGCCTGATATTTAATTAGTAAATTATTGCTAGTGCTAAAAGCAAAAAGCTTGTAATTATTTACATGCGTTTTTATATCTGCACTTCATTAGAAAATTTCTTTCAATGTGAACATTGCTTCATCACCCTAAGACAGTTATTTTGCCCCCTAGCAAAATTTTTAAACTGGAGGTTGGGTAAATTTATACTATGGTAATGATACATTTTCTTGTTTAAAATCACTCTCTGTAATTTCCCCTATTAACAGAGTAATGCATGTTTTACAGTCTGCCTATGATTAAATTGGCTACATTGAACACTTATTTCTGTAGAAATGAGGAAAAAGATAATTTAACTCCTTTAGTGAAAACTATTTGTTAAGCCTGCCAAAGCAACATCAGCATTGTGACCTTTAATTACTGGTATTTTTACAATATCTTGGTGTTTTCCTTAAAATAAAACAAAGGTATAGACCACCCGTCCCTGCCTTGTATAGTTCAGTCTTGTACATGCGTTCATTTGTTACTGTTATTATATGTTACTAATCCTTAACATCATTCTAAAACTATGCCGATCTCGAACTGTAATACCTAGCTATAAGTTAGAGATAAATAATATCTTTCTGTGAGTCTATGAACAAAGTTATTGAATTCAAAGTAATTTTACACCAAGAATATTTGTTTTTAGTTTTTTAAAGGAATGTCTCAAGGAAGGTTTTACTGCATGTATATTTGGTTCGGAAAAGTAACCTCACACAGATCTGTTTATAAGATCAGTTATTAAAATTAGTTTCTTTCGTCCAAGTTTATACCAGATTTTCACAAACGGCAAATTCAGTTTTTATCTTCTGAAATTATGCTACCATTCTTTTGCCATTTGGATAATATCAACCAAATTTTAAATAAATGTGCAAGATTTGCTCTTCACAAACATATTTGATTTATCTGATTGACCCAATACCCCCTAACCCCAAAATCACCCTAATTATACCTCCAACCTCTTAAGTCTATTATTACATTGGCTGTATGTAAATATACGAACAATGCTTGGACACAGACCCAAAACCATGTCAATTTTCTTCCCCCCAGCATTGCAATACTAAATACCTTATAAGTTTTCATTAAAGGGATAATATAGGCATCAAAACAACCGTCCGAATCATGTGATGTCCCGATTGAGAATGTCGGCAGCCCTATCTGAGTCTGCTACACATCCTGAGCAGTACCCCAGCGGTAGGTTGCAACCCGACTTTGACGTCCGTGTAGGAGTCGGGGCACCCAGGGTTCCTCTATAGAGTCTTGTAGGTCTCCTCGATGGTAGATGAAAAAGTGGGTCAGGGAGAACCCAAACAAAGACGGCTCCCGTGAGGGATATAGAGTATAGACGAAGGGCCCTCCATCTCCGAACCATGTTCTACAGATATGTGCTCAGAGGAGTAGGGGCAGTCCTGTCATCTTATCCCGAGATTGTAATGACCAGGGAACTCAAGTCAACCGGGAGTTTCCGGTCTTTCCATGCGTACGGAGTACCTGCAGACCGGGTAGTGGGCCTTCCCTAGTTTTGTTACTCGAGCAAGGCAGTGCCGTTTGCTCCATGAAAGTCTCAGTATCTCATGTCATCTTGATCTGGGAAAAACTGTCGGCGCAGTTTGTTGGCAATGGTCCAGATATCTAAAACAGAATGCGATTGTCTGTTTTGTATAGCGCAGAATATACCAAAACCTGCACTCTTGTGTACCTGAGGCTCATCCGTTAGCCGTATCATCTTTGTGTGTCAATAAGCGGGAGTCTCCCCCCCCCCTTATACCTCTGTGAGTATTTATTGCGTGGGGTACAGTGGTCCGGATCCAGTAGATCCATTACAGAAGGTGAAATAGAGGGATCCAGTCTAAATATGTATCCTGCATGATCAGGAAGCCCTCTATAACGAAAATCGGTAGCACGGTCATAAGATCTAATTGAATGCAGGAGGGACGCCCCTCTATGCAGTCATCGTTGTCCTGTACAGGTACAAGCCTGTGTGATGAATAAATGGACGGCACTGCAGTGCGTTGAGTGTATGAGAGAGCCGCACCCTCTAATAATGTGACCAAACTCCGTGTCAATGTCCGGCTGATAGCCTGAGCGGGCCGCACCCGTTAATAACCAGACAGTAGAGTCTACATCCGTGACCGGTTCTCTCAACGGGAATGTTTCACTCAAAACATGACCTCTGTATCAAGCTCGGTAATGGGTTGAGGTTGAGGGAGGGCCGCTCCCTCTAATAACAGATCAGTGTCCAGTTCCGTATATGAGAGGGGTTCGCTCTCTGTTTGTGAAAGAAGAATATCCTTCTCGGATCGAGGTGATGGAGGGTCGCACCCTCTTGTAATCCAAACTAGAGTCCTTTAGAGATTCAGGGTGACCAACTGCAGGGGTACGCCATTCACTAATATCAGCATAAGACTGAGATCCTGAGATGGCCACGAGACTGGCCACGAGACCTCACTCTGAATCGCTCACCTGAGGTGGAATTAACTGGCAATAAACCAGACCGATGGAAGATGGAATAGTATACGGCCTAGGGCCGTGTCCATCCTTAATAACAGAAAGGGATGGTGAGAAAATGCAACCTACGGAAACAATGATGGGAACTACCAATTGACCACCCGGATCCAGTGCGCGCGGGCTCCAGGATGACCGTCGGTAGCCTGAGGAAAGCTGGAGACGTTCTCCGCAATCCACCAGGGCCCGGGAGATCGGAGGAGGTCAAGTCAGGCCTCTCGACGACCCGAGCGATAGGACAATTGGAATGATTGAAAACCAAGAAACAACAAATAATGTAGATAACGGTAAATACGTACCTCAGAGAGCAGGTAAATAGCAGATCGGAACAGCAAGAAATCTAAACCCAACTGAAAGGGTTAGGAGCTAAACATGACGTAGGACTAACTAGCAATACCTAAGATGGATACCGGAAAGGCAGCTAAATGGTTAGTTGCTGAAGGCAAGGCAACCATGCTCACCTGTTGGCATCTGAGCAATGGTCCCTGCTTGTGCGAAATTCTCTTCGGAGATGTGCCACTACCGGGTTGGTGTGAACCGTGGTGGCGCGCCCGGGGATCCTCATAACTAAAAAACCTTGCCCCTCAGAGTATGAGGTTTAGGGCCTTCACCCTTTCAATCATATTGAGGTGCCCGTATACTGGTGTCCTCTTGGATGGTAAGGCAGCAGTGCTTGCCTGGATACCCATCTATCTCCATGTCAATAGTGGGCACTTGGCTCTTCTCGGTGATATCCTCCCAGGCCTGCGGCTAAAAGGGATTTTGGGCCCAGAGAGCTCAGGCCGAACAAAGATTAGAGCAGGCCAGTCAGAAAGGCACAGACCTAGCAGGCCAATCAAATGAGCACAGGTATAGCTGGCCAATCAATGGGGCACGGGCATAGCCGGCCAATCCATGGGGCGCAGACGTAGCCGGCCAATCCATGGGGCGCAGACGTAGCCGGCCAATCCATGGGGCACAGACATAGCCGGCCAATCAATGGGGCACAGACATAGCTGGCCAATCAATGGGGCACAGACATGGCAGGCCAATCAAAAGGGCACAGACAGAGCAGGCCAATCCTGGGTTGCGTCTGGATGAGTAATAAGGGACCCCTGTGTTTGGGTAGAGTCCCCTAATTATCTGTAAATCTTCAGGGTATCCTGAGAGGTAGGACCCCCAGACGCCAACCATTTAGACAGTGCAGTACTGTGTTAATACACCTGAACTGGGACTAGCAGTCCCTAAATGCCCAGCAGGCAAAATAGTGGTATATTAGCTGAAAAATGACTATAATGTCCATTAAATCATGATATACAGAGCGACTCATATTTTAACTGTGCATGGGTTATGCACATGAACCTGCATCCCTGTTTGAGATTTCTTCATAAATATCATATATCATCAGTATACCAGCTGAATTGAATTGAGCCAGGGTCAGGTCTGCTTAGCTTTTTATATTTGCCACGGACAGTAAGTATCTTACTAGAGAAGTCTTGCCTCTGACTCCAGGGATGGATCAGGCACATATACACTGAAGCACATTGATTGCAACCTAAGAGCACTTTGGTTAATTGTGCAACAAAAAATCTTCACATCTCCTAGACATCATGTCAAATCCAACAAAGGAATATATGGGCATTTTATCCATGTGTTTCTGTATCAAGTGTGTAAATACCCAGCATATACCTTGTGGCTGACAGTGCTTGGCCTCTTGTAGTACAGGGGATTTGAACTCATGGAGAAAGGTTCACAGTTGTTATACATACCCAGCAGATACCTTGTGACTGACGGTGCTTGGGCTCTTGTAGTACAGGGGATTCGAACTCATGGAGGAAGGTTCACAGCTGTTACCACTGAGCTACTATAGAAGCACACAATAGTGTGCTTATCCCTGATGTAATAGGCAAACTGGCTCTGAAAGCACAATCTTACAGAGCCAGAACCCCAGGGAAAAAACCTTGAACTCCGACCACGGTGGGTGGAGGAGAGGCCGCGGGCAGGCGCAACCTCCTCTAGCCGGTCGGATGCTTAGAGGGAGCCGTCCGAGGTGGAAACGTGTGAGCGGCCTGGCCGCCGGGTACTCGCGTCTGACCATGAGTAACCCCAGGCGCCGGCAGGCTCACACTGGAGCTTGGGGAGTCAGAGGAGGCAGCCACACGGCTAGTCTCCTGACTCTCCAAGTGAAAAGCACCCACAGCCCGCGAAGGGCGCTGGAAAGAGGGGTAGTGGGGAGGAGGGGGGCAAAAGACAAAGGGAAGCAAACTGGAAGTATACCCAGTAACCCCCATAAAACCCCCACAACAACAGGAAAACATCCCCAAGGTAACAGGGGAAGCCAAAAAGAGTCAAACAGACATGAATCCCAAATAAATATATATAGAAAGTATAAAGTATATAAAATAATCTGATAACTAAATATAATGTAAATAATATATAAAAACAAATACAAATATATAATATGGTAACTAAATATAATGTATAAAATATAAAATATATAATATGATAATATAATGCAAATAATATATAAATACATATATATAATATGGTAACTAAATATAATGTATATAATATGATAACTAAATGTAAATGAAATCATAAATAAGTCATAACTAAATCCCAAAGCCACCAACTATAAGCAGGAGGCAGTGGTACTCTGACCTGTACTGATGCGGAGCAGCAAAGAAAGAGGAAATGATGCATGGGGAGGGGAGTTTTATAGTACCTAACATTTTTCTGATTGGTTGTTTTCTGTGCTGCTGTGGAGTTCTAGTAAAGAGAGACTTAAGCAACTACGAAGCCTCCTGTCATGTTATAAAATTTAGTTTATTAAAGAAATAGTTGTTTTGGAAACTAGCAAATAGCAATAAAAGCAATATAATAAATATAAATCTCTACAGCTTTTCACCAATAAGACTTTTTTTAAAGTGTTACACCCATCTGCACATGCACAGTATTTATATGGAGCACAATTTCAAATATGGAAGACAGGAAAAACACCCTAATTTAAATGTATCCAACGCTATATTCTGATTGGCTTTTTGGTATTCAATTTGTTTTTAACAAAGTATAAAACAAGCATATTCCAAAGATGCTACGGATAATTTACCTTTTTACAAATTTTCTGTTTTGTTTTTGTGTTACGGTCCCTTTAACTCAATGCAATAGAATTAAAAACACCTCAGTAAATTTATTGTGGAAAATTGCTGGATCTAATGACAAATAATTGTCTCATGTTTGTATCTATTTCAGAGAGAAATAGGTGACATACTAATTCACTGAAGTAACTAATATGTCCAAACTAAACTCTCTCTGTTTTCATTCTTATAAGAATGCTAAAATCGGTTTGAAAGTACCTTCGAGTTGATAGATTGTATATGTTTCTAAAGTCGATTATTTGTCTTCCTTTTCATCAATGTAAATAAAGGGTTAGTCATGCATTAACATTAAAAGTCAGGACCATGTTATTATTGATTTCCATGCTGTATTATATGGCAAAACATTTCAATAAGAATGGTTTGTTCTTGCTAAAAATGGCAAAACAGAATTTTTGTTCAACTCTAAAACTCTAAAAGTAAAAACAAATACATTTTTATACAGTATAGAAGATGGTGTAATGCATGAAAATGTCATATTTTATGCAAGAAAAGCATGTGCATGATAAGTCTTACCAGAAACAAAGTTCAGTTGTATACATTTTTGAATATTATTTGGTGTTTTATTAATTCTAGCGAGGTTTTGTCTATTATTTCATGAGCTAGCTTTTCTGCACTTTATCATACTTGCCAACAGTACTCAATCTGGCAGGACAGTCCTGATTTTTGTCTCGCCATCCTGGGTATGGAACCTTGGGACAAAGGTTTAAGAGCACCTACCTAATCGTGTTTGCAACTGCCAAATTCAGGAAACTTCCTCCTGTTTGCAGAACTTGTGTGGACCTACCTTGTTGGTTGCCGTGCAGGCATTACATAGCATACCCCTTTTACTGACGGGGAGCACCACTGTTGATTAAATTGTGTCATTGGCATGTGGCTTCCCTGTGTTACAGCTACATTCCTGCCAAAGTAGGCAGGTAGGTATAGTATTTTAGCATGTCAACCAAGCCTGTTTTGTGACTTCTAGTATTGAAATAATCATCCAGGATGCACATATTTTTTGGATTCTTTGTAATCATGTAATTCGCAGGATCCATGGCCATTAAAATGGCACTTAACTTGATGTGTTTATATAAAACACGAGGTGTATTTCATATTTTGTGCCAAATGTTCCTCGAATCCAGGTGCATGTCTTTTATCCGTAGATGACTTTAATCAACAACTAAATCCATTAAAGAACCTTGATTAGTTTCTTCTAACTGAATAATCCACATTGTCTACAATAGCAAAGTAGTGTTTAATTATTAGAGCTCTATTGCATGTGTTTAATATATATCCCAAGAGATAGATTATGGCACAGTGCTGATGTGAGAATGGATTGTGCAGGTGTAATGTAGACTTTTAAAATTATTTCCTAATGTCTGTTCCTGAGACATCTTGCAGATACCAGAGTTAACTTCTTTTCAAAAGAAAATTAATAAACCCAAATCTGTCATTTGTAGAAATATATTGTTTCATGATTATTGCTTAAATAACATGTACCTATTGTTGTAATGGTAATAATTGCTACTTTGTATTGAAAAGTAAATGCAGTGGGCAATCTCATTACCAGTCACTGTGAGCCAATCTCATACTCTGTGCCTCAAGGGGCAAATTATGAACTATTTTCCAGCATGCATGGGATCTCATGCAAGTTATGTGTGGCAAGAAGGTTTGCTGTGTCTGTCAGCGTAGTGTCCAGAGCATGGAGGCGCTACCAGAAGACAGGCCAGTACATCAGAAGACGTGGAGGAGGCCGTAGGAGGGCAACAACCCAGCAGCAGGACCGCTACTTCTGCCTTTGTGCAAGGAGGAACAGGAGGAGCACTGCCAGAGCTCTGCCTTTGTGCAAGGAGGAACAGGAGGAGCACTGCCAGAGCCCTGCAAAATGACCTCCAGCAGGCCACTATACCTACCTGCCAACTTTGGCAGGAATATAGCTGTAACAAAGGGAAGCCACATGCCAATGACACAATTTAATCAACAGTGGTCCTCCCCGTCAGTAAAAGGGGTATGCATGTGTCTGCTCAAACGGTCAGAAACAGACTCCATGAGGGTGGTATGATTGCCCGACGTCCACAGATGGGAGTTGTGCTTACAGCCCAACACCATGCAGGACATTTGGCATTTGCCAGAGAACACCAAGATTGGCAAATTCGCCACTGGTGCCCTGTGCTCTTCACAGATGAAAGCAGGTTCACACTGAGCACATGTGACAGACCTGACAGAGTCTGGAGACACCGTGGAGAACTTTCTGCTGCCTGCAACATCCTCCAGCATGACCGGTTTGACAGTGGGTCAGTAATGGTGTGGGGTGGCATTTCTTTGGGGAGCTGCACAGCCTTCCATGTGCTTGCCAGAGGTAGCCTGACTGCCATTAGGTACCGAGATGAGATGCTGGTGCGGTTGGCCCTGGGTTCCTCCTAATGCAAGACAATGCTAGACCTCATGTGGCTGGAGTGTGTCAGCAGTTCCTGCAAGATGAAGGCATTGATTCTATGGACTGGCCTGCCCGTTCCCCAGACCTGAATCCAATTGAGCACATCTGGGACATCATGTCTCGCTCCATCCACCAACGTCACGTTGCACCACCGACTGTCCAGGAGTTGGCAGATGCTTTAGTCCAGGTCTGGGAGGAGATCCCTCAGGAGCCCACGTAATCAGGAGCATGCACAGGTGTTGTAGGGAGGTCATACAGGCACGTGGAGGCCACACACACTACTGAGCCTCATTTCGACTTGTTTTAAGGACATTACATCAAAGTTGGATCAGCCTGTAGTGTGTTTTTCCACTTTAAATTTGAGAGTGACTCCAAATCCAGACCTCCATGGGTTGAAAAATTTGATTTCCATATTTTAATTTTTGTGTGATTTTGTTGTCAACACATTCAACCATGTAAAAAACAAAGTATTTCAGAAGAATATTTAATTCATTCAGATCTAGGATGTGTTATTTTTGTGTTCCCTTTATTTTTTTGAGCAGTGTATATCCTGGCTGTAGATAATACCTTGTTTGGTGTGATTGGGATGGAAGCTGGAATTGTGGAGGTAGCTGTACCTGTCTGTGGGTTTTCTGTACACAGTCTTCATTAATCTGCGTACAGAAAACCCACAGACAGGTACAGCTACCTCCACAATTCCAGCTTCCATCCAGGCTATCGGATATATCACCACATTTGCTCTGATACAAAAGACAGAGATCAGCAGCTGAGTACATTTAGGCGAAAGAGCTACAAGGAAAGGACAATATTTAAAAAAATAAAATATGCCTTATAAACACCACGGGAAAGGCTCGCACAATACATAGAAAAGGAAAACAAAACAGGAATCCCTCTATTAATTACATACAACCCAACTTTAGAAGGAAACTGCTTACTGTGCTTACTGTACATTAGCTCCATTTCAAAATCAGATTTTTTTTTGTGTAATAACAATGGCTATAAATAAGTAATGACATGCCATGTGTCTGCCTGTGATACAAATGATTTCATTAATAGGGGTCTGTAAATTACAATGGGTACGGAAGAAAGGTCTGTGAATTAGAATGATCAATATGTGTTCTGTAAATGTGTTTAATACTCTCATATATAGTGGTACAAAAATTTTTATGTTTTATTTTTAAATCATTATTTTCTA